TTTTGCTCTATTGTATTGTTTTTGTTTCTTTGTCAGATCAATTGACTATTTTTGTGTGGCTCTGGTTCTAGGGTCTCTATGCTATACCACTGATTTATTTGGGTATTCTTTTACCAGTACATCCTGTCTTGGTTATTGTCGCATTGTAGTGAATCCTATATTTTGATAGTGTCAGTCCTCCTAATTTGTTCTTCTTGTTTATTGGATTGGCTCTTCTGGGTCTTTTGCATCTCCATGTAAACTATAGACTCGGTTTGTCAACATACACAAAATCACTTGCTGCAATTTTGACTGGGCTTGTGCTGAATCTATAGGTAAACTTGAGAAGAACAGTTATCTTGACAGTATTGAGTCTTGCTATCTGTAAACATAGAATAGCTCTCCATTTTTTATTTTCTGATACTTTGATCAATGTTTTATAGTTTACCTCATAAAGATATTATACATATTTTATTAGATTTATGCCTGCTTATTTCATTTTAGGGGTACGGCTGCAAATGATAATATTTTTAATTTCAAATTCCACATGTTCATTGCTAATACATAGGAAAACAATTGACTTTCACTTATTAACCTTGAAACTCCCAACTTTGCTATAATTGTTCATTAATTCCGGGAGTTTTGTTTTGTTTTTGTCAATCAGATTTTCTACTTAATCCTGTCATCTATGAACAAAGAAAATTTTATTTCTTCCTTCTCAATCTGTTTTATTATACTAGGTAGGGCTTCTAATACAATGTTGAAAAGCAGAGGTGAGAGAGGAATTTTTGCCTCTCATTCAACTTTTTAGTGGAAAAGTTTTCTCACCATTAAACATAATGTTACCTGTAGAGAGTGTGTGTGTGTGTGTGTGTGTGTGTGTGCATGCACAGAAGTTATCAAACTAAGGAAGCTCTCCTATATTTTCAGTTTGCTAAGATATTTTTTATAACAATATGTGTTGAATTTTTCAAATTCTCTTTGTGCATCTATTGATATGATTGTGTGATTTTTTTTTTTTCAGTGGTTTGGTTTTGTTTTGTTTCTGCGGATTGAACTCAGGACCTTCACACTGAGCTATGTCCCCAGTTCATTACTGAGAGAGGGTCTCACTATGTTGCCCAGGCTGGGCTCCTACTTGCAAGCTTCTTTCCTCACTCTCCCAGAGTACTGGAACTATAGGCACCAAACCCATCTGGTGATTTTTCTTTTAAAGTTACGTTAATTGATTTTTGAATGTTGAACCAGCCTTACATATGTGGGATAAATCCAATTTAGTTATGGTGTGTAATTCTTTGCATATATTGTTGGATTCTATTTGCTAATATTTTGTTGAATATCTTCATGAGCAATGTTGGTCTGTAGCTTCTTGTAATGTCATTGTCTAGATTTGGTGTTAGGGTAATATTGGTCTCATAGAATGAGTTAGGGAATATTCCCACTGCTTCTGTCTCTTGAAAGAGACTGTAGAGAATTGGTATAGTTTCTTCTTTTAGTATTTAGAAGAATTCACCAGTGAATCCATCTGGGCCTGGTATCTTCTTTTTTGTGGGAAGAGGTTATTATTTATTGATTTAATTTTAAAATATATACATATGTATATACATATACACATACATACACACACCTATTCTGCTTGTCTAGCCATCTTAGTTATTTTTAAATGCATTGTTACAAAAATATTAAGAAAATGCAAATTACTAAAAACCAATTTAACAAATGAAGTATAGCAATGATTGATCACAAGTACAATTTACTATGTTCCTGAATATCTACAAACTTGCCAAGTTTACAATATTATTTTCACTTAAATAAGAAACCTGATGCTTAGAGAGATTAAAGTACCTGACCAAGGCAACACTGCCCGTTCATAATAGAGCAAAATCCAGTTTTCCCTGAACTGGCTGGTGTTTTCATTGCTGAATCCTAGTATTTTTTTTTCAGCCTTTAGCATAAGTAGTTTTCATGTGCCATGAAATTCCTGTGAGGAAGCCTATGTTAATCAGCTTTCCCTCATTGTGACAAGGTACCTGAGGTGGGGCGGGGTGCGGGGGGGGGACTTAAAGAAGGAAAGATTTCTTTTGACTCACACTTTTAGAAGTTTCAGTCCGTGGCTGGCTGGCTGTGTTGTTTTTAGGCCTATGGTGAGGCAAAAACATCCCGGTAGAAGGACATGGCAGAGGAAAAGTGCTTGTTCCATGGCAGCAAGAAACAGAGAGAGAAGGAAAAGAGCCATAGAAGAAGGAGCTAGGGGAAAAGTGTAGTTCCAGGGTCACATTCTGGTGACTGACTCCAATCAACTAGGCACCTCCTACATTTCCATGGCCTCCCAGTGATGCTACCAATGCATTAATCTACTGATGAAGTTATACACCCTCCAAAAGCTCTACCTCTGAACACTGTCACACTGAGGACAAAGCCCCCAGGACACAAGCCTTTGGGCCATGTCATATCTAAGCCATAGCAAACTCTATGTCTGAGTCCAGGCTTTGATTATCTGCCTCGTGGCCATGTTCTTATTATGGAAGCTGCAGAAATGCCACATTCAAACACATGTGAACAGAAAGCACAGTTCTGTGCCCCTCTTCCCCTTCCTTTTCTAACCACAATGAATTTTTTAAACTGTGGTAATGAAGCTTAAAAAACAAAAGCAAAACCATTCTATTCCCTTTCCATGTTGCTTTGGTTAGTGATAAGCCTGTACCTAAAATTATTTTTATAAGGTAGCACCCCTGAAGCTGCGTGGCATAAAAGTGCTGACCACAGCCTTTGGAGACAGAGATCCTGATTCGGCTGCCAAGACTATGATTGTCTCACTGTGCACTCATGAGGGAAACACTATCTATCTAAGCCTCAGGGCCTTCATCTGTAAAATGGGACAGGGGTATAATACTGATCTCACTGGAGGATTGTTGAAGTAAATGACATGATGCATGTAAAGCCCTTAGCACTATTCTTAAAATAGGCTAGAGTTTCCATTATTGCTAACTAATATTCCAGACCATTTTAAGCACCTACTATATGTAAAGTCATCAGTTGAATTACCTACTTGGTCTTCAGACACTTTTCATCGTCTGTCCCTAATATTTTTGACTACATATCCTTACTATTTGCAACACTATTTATAAAGTATATCCATGATTCATTCTCAATCCCCCATTCTCAGTCCTAACACATCTTAGGAAAGTTTGATGCTTCCTGTCTTAAGACTTAAAAACAGAGAGGAAAAATATTCAAATATTCCCAAATTTCAGTGGACTTTCTTAAACACTCTGCTTTAGATGCCTTTGGTTTAGTTTATCTAAGACAGAGTCTGGTGAATTTTTTTCTCTAAAGGGATAGGTAGTCAAGATTTTTGACTTCGCTCTGTCTCTATTGCAACTACTCAGCTCTATTGTTCTGTCACAAAAGCAACTGCAGACAGTGTGCAAACATATGGTCATGGTTGTGTTCCAGTAAAACTTTATTTACAAAAACAGATGTTGGGCCATAGTGTGAAGCCCTCTGATCTAAGTCAACTTGCTCTGCTGTTTAAGTCCCAGTTTCCCTTAGGGGACTACCTAAGGGCAGCAGCGCTTGTAAACTCTGGTAGTGAGCAAGGAGTGAAAGTGAGGCAATGCATACAGCAGCTGTTTCCAACACATGCCAAGTATATACCATCATGATCATCACCATGGTTATTGTTAATATGAAAATATCTTCCCACACATAGGTGAGGCAAGGTGCAGACTTCCTTGTACCAGCCTCCCTTTGAAGGAATAATATATAGTCTTTTATAAATGAGGCAACTCTCTCTGACCCTTTGGAAGCAAGATGTAGTCTTTCATTTGATGTCCTCTCTTAATTAATGTCTTCTAACCCCTCATCTCATCCAGGTACACCCAAATCTAAAAGAACTGGGTCTTTTCTGTAAAACTTTAGGGTTCACAAGCAGGGCAATAAAAAAGTTAGTGGTTTCATGGGAGAAGTGGCTCATGCATTGATAAACTTTTCTTACTGCCTATTGTGTGCCAGGTACTGTGCTGGACACCAAAAGTAGGCATGGGGCTACCGAAATGAATGGGAGGTGGTATCTGCCCTCAAGGAAATTCAGTCAGCCTTTCCCCAGCACCCTTCCAACATTACTCTTGGCAAGGCCCTACATGGGACTTAGGTCCAGTGGTGGTTGTTCATTCATCATAGGATTCCACCTATTGCAGCATTTTGTATGTGTGTTTTCACATTCCTTCTTGAGCTCTTCCTGTTTGATCAGGACTCCATTCTCTCCAATTCTGCCTTAACTTACTACTCAGCCAAGCATCTGCCTTATTTGCCCACCTGTGGTAAGTTGGCTGCCTGTCACTGGCTAAAAACCATCTACTTATGATTAGCTGAAACTTGACTGTTTTCTTCCTAAATTTCAGTTTGTTTACATAGTAATAACACCATGTAGCCAATGTTAGCTTACAAATTAGGTTGTACTTTGTTAAGCAGGAACTCGGTGTATCATAATATTCTCAAGCTAATGCCTTCCTGCTTATTCAACATGTTCATTTTTTAATTTCTAAAAATAGTACCATACTCCCATTGAGTTTTATGTTGTATTATTTAGCAAGGCATACATCTTTCCATATCACATATTTATCTGCAAAAGCATTTTGTAGGGCTGCTTAGTAGTCCATCATATGGAAGGCCAGAGTTCATTTCTGTTTCTCTTGATGTTAGACAATTGGGCTGTTTCCTAATCTTTTTTCAATCTTTTACTCAGTACTGTGGTTGAGTATCCAATTCTGATACTCAACCAGCTGACACTGATAGAGTAATACAGCCTGCCCTGTTTCAACCTGGAGGTGCTCAGAGTAGTCATTAAAAATTTTAATACCCATAGAAATGTCTTACATAAATCCAAGATTATAATCCAAGATTACATAAATCCAATTCCTTGGAATATTTAAAATATCTGGGTTATAGGAATTTAATATTTTTACAAGTTTTTACTATATTTTGACAAATTGATCTCCCCAAAATAAGTTCTAGTTTTACCACCAGGTTAGACAGCTGAGCACTTCTGAGCTCAAAGTTTCTGGGTATTTGTTCAAGAAGATTGATGAAGAAGGAAAAGAACAAAATACAACTCTATTTGAAATCAAACAAAGCTAGACATAGCTATTGACAAAGAGATACAGTATATTAATCAGAATCTTGGCAAGTAACAATGGCACTTGGAGATGATGCAATTGAGGAGCGTATAGTAAACGTGTGAGCAGGATTAAAAACAACTGCAGAGGCTGGTGGGCCACTCAGGCTGGCAATGGCTAGGAACTGTTACTTCTAGCCTGATGGACAAGGGAAGAGAGCAGTACTGGACCCTGGAGAAAGTTGTCGCTGTGTTGTAGTTGTAGCAAAGAGCCACCCTCAGGAGTTATGCCACCTAAATGGAAACTCAGCAGACTGCCAAGGTACAGCCCAGCAGGGAGGGCATCCAGAGGATAAATAGCCCAAGGTCATTCTCCTCCCAACCTCCTCAGAATTCCCGCCAGATCCTGCCATTGGCTCCTTGCACCTGGAAGCCAGAGGGAGCCAGCTGACCCTGTGCTTACTGAGCAGCCTTCCAGGGCACAGAGCAGGAGTGGGGAGACATGCAATAAGCTCAGCCCTAGGCATGGGCATGGACAGCAATTTTTTGTTTTGTTTTAAGTCAGAGTCTGAAGGTCAAGGGAAGAATAGTTTGAAGAAGAATTCAAGATGGTGAGGCAATGAGTCACAGTTTTGTCCCAGTCTTCCACTTGCTGTAGGGCTCTGCGAGACCTGGGAAAGTAGAAGAGTCAGGGTGTCCCTCCCCTGAGGGCTTCCTGGACTAGGGTTCACATTTGCCACCTTTGCAAGCCACTCCCAGTGGTTGAAGATTTGCAGCAGCAGCAGCACCCTGGCAAAGAGCAGACCCAGGGAAGATAAATTGATGGGGGAGAGCGGGAACCAAGTTAATCTTATGTAACTTAAATCCTTTTGAAAACTCTTTTTGCTTTTATTTTAAGAGATGCTATTTACAAATTCTCCAGGGGGTTAAAAACCATAAGAGATGAGTTTTTATGTGATGTCAATAGAGAAATCTCTTAACTCCTGGAATAAATGATGCTTTTGTTTTGGCTTTCCGTTTTTCAAAAGGGCCATCTGTTTTCATAAACATAAACGAGAATCTCTAGCCACCTTTTCCCTTATAAGCCTCCATTTCTTTGCACAAATGACAATATTCCCTTCGTGATTCATTCCTGAAGACATTCTTCTGGGCTAAATGTGGCTGCTAAATTTGTACTTCAGTTTTCACTGAGTCCCACATGATCCTCGCTCAGGCGGCAACCGCACTGTTACAGCTTTCATTTCTTCAGTCCCAGATTGGTCATACCCTTGGGTTGCCAGCAGCTCTATACTAGGCTTTATGCAACGGGTTTCTCCTGTCTCTCAAAGGACATTTGAAGTCTAGAGGAGGCAAATAAGTAGCATCCCTCTCTCTACCTGAGTTTGGACACACTGAGAAATAAAGTGACAGGTGGAAGGCAAAATATCATGCAGTTAATGATAATGAATAACTTCATTTAGTGTGACAGCCAGTAAAGGTCATAATTTGACCCAGAGTTAAACAGAGTTATCCACCCAGTCCTGGGCAATGCTGGATGGGGCAGAGGAAGAGCCAGCCACTAGGAACAACAGAAGTATTTCCAGCTGTCAGGAGGAAGAGAACGTGGCCCAATTTATTCTTCCTCAGTTTACCACCAATGACACTCATTCCACTACTTGTGTCTTAAAGGGACAGAGAGAAACTAAGAGGGGCCCTGGGGGAGCTCCTTTCATATGGAAATTAATGTTAGAAGTTAGGATGAAATTTTCTTCCCAACAGTGACATAGGTAACACAGAAACTAGAGGGTAAAATTTGCATGATCCTAATCCATATACTATACTCAGTAAATACTCGTTGACTTTCTTCATTATTTAACAAATACTTGCTGAGCAAAGATACAAGGTGTAGATCTAGAGTTTAGTTTTTTATTCTCCATACAGTAGAGAGCTGCTGTAATATTCTGAGCAAGGAGTAAACATGATGAGATTTAAATTTTTCAAAAATTATTTTGCCTAAGAAGGACAAGGGTGAGAGTGGGGAGATGGATTCAAAGGCTCTTGCTGCTCTCTAGATGAGAAGCAACGATGCTGGGGACTAAGGTGGAATCAGAGAAGAGGGACACAGATGGACTAAGAATCAAGGTGTATCATATATCATTTACGTGTATTGTTTATACCTAAAATGTACCAATAAACTTAATTTAAAAAGGACACAGATGGACAAGTGGTGATACAACTTGCACATACACTTGTCAGGGTCAGCTGGTGGTTGGAGCTGGTGGGGATAGATCAGAGAGAGAAAGTTTAGACTTCAGAGTGGCCTGTGCTTTTACTTGAGCAACTGAATGGATACAGATAAAGCTATGGAGGGGCAGGTTTGAGGAATGAATGGGTGAATCCATGGAGATGGGATCCTTGCTTAGCCATTCACTTTTGGAGGTGTAGTAGGCTGACCATTCATCCCTGTTTGCCTATGACAGTCCTAGTTTAAACCTGCTGACCCTATGTGATTATTAAGAATGCTTCCTCTCGTCCTCCAAAGTGACCGGTTTTTGGATGATAAAGTACTTAGTCACTCTAGCTTAGAGAGAATCTTGAGCTTATAGAGAATTGTTGGAAAAGTGCTTTGGAATGTGAAAAACACTAGATAAATGTAAAGCATCAATCAGCATTAGCAGCGTTAATGAAGATTTGTCCAAGAGCTGAATCTTCTTTGCTCATTAACTTACACGATTATTTTAGGTTACGTTCCTCTGCTGTCTGATTCATCTTCCATGCCTGGTGGCTCCCACCCTAGAATGGAACTCTGGTTTCCATGTCTTCCTCTTCCTTTCTCCAGCCCTACCCCCCAGTCATTAATGATTTCTAAAACACCATTCCTAATTGGCCCATGGGGACTCTCTATTTAAGGGGATCTAATGGTTCATCGTTTTGCAGATCAAAGGCTTTGTACAGTACACTTATTTCTGACAGCTTCTTCACAGCTAGGTTTTCTCTCAGTCTTGGAAAAAGAATCCTCACTTGTCCTGGCTCTCAAAATAATTTGTGAAAATGGAAAGATCCACTTTTCCCGCCGCCTGTCTTCTTGAGAATTTCTAAATATACAATTATGCCCACTGAGGCTTTAGCATTTCATGCAAATGCCACAGCTCTGTATGTTCGCTGGGTGAGGCATGTTGATATTTGGAGAAAGACATTTACAGATACCCAAGTTGTAGTCCCAGCTCTGTCTCCTCCTGCTGACAAAAATACTTCACTTTTCAGGACCTGCATCTCCTCACCTGGCAAAAGGGGAATGATACCTCTCTGGGATTACTTCCACCTTGACACTTATATCTCTTTGGTGAAAGGGGAAAGGGCTTCGTGATCCTGATACTGGTGGAGCCAGGGAATTGGGGTCATTGTTCTTTATTTCTCAGAATTAATGCAAGTCCAGACTGGTTTTTCTCATGGTCTCCTTCCCCACTTCCTCTCCCTTGACTTGTCCTACAACAAAGGAAACTCACATTGTCCCCTCTCAACCATGAAGATGGTCTCTCAGACTGCCTGTCGTGCAGTAGTTTGCTGGGAGTCCTAAGGCCAGGTGTCAGCAAGTTGGTTCCAGCTGAGGGCTCTCTGAGGGAGAACACACACACACACCCCTAGCTTCTGGCAGTTTGCTGGCAGCCTTTGAGGTTCCTGAGTTTGTCACTGCACAGCCCCAGTCTCTGCTTTCATCTCTACACATGTTCTCCCTGGTTCACACCTGTGTCCAGATTTCTCCATGTTACTAGGACCCTGGTCATTTGGATTAGGAGCCCACACTACTCGGATATGATCTCATCCTCATTTAAGTAATTATATCAACAATGATCCTAATTCCAGATAAGATCACATTCTGAATTACTGGGGTTAAACTTCAACATACAAATTTTGGGTAGATGCAGCTCAACCCATAGTACTGCCAAGGTGTGGAAAACTCTGCTATTACTGGAGCCACTGCTGTGGTCACCAATTTGCCTGATGGGAAGCCATGGGCCCATGACAGTCTGCCCAGTGCTGAAACCCTGATGCAGGAAGTCTTACTTGCCCAGCTTCCTACCCAAGCCTGCATGGCCCTTGGAAGGAGAGGGGTCTTCTTGATGCATATTTTGCTCCTGGTGTTCCTACTAGACTCCTGAGGTCACCAGGCTCCCTTAGCAACCTTTTCCTCCCAAAACCCTAAGGTTCCACCATCTCATATATGTTCAGAATGACTAAACAAGGAGGAACACCGTAAAGCCAGCCAAATATCCTTAGGGACAAAGATGTCCAAACACTGGAAACACAAAGTCCAGTCATATTTTTCCTTCGTAAAGGAGAAAAAAACTTGCCTTTCTTCCAAATTAGTCTGCCGGGGTCCCTTTTCCTACCCAAATTGCTAGAGACTTCTTGCTCTATTGAGGGGGGAAGGTAATTTCCCATGGGATATCCTGCTATCATATATATTTAACCAGAACTTGTTTACTGAGCAGGTCCAAAGCACCATACTGGGTACTGGATACCAAAGTGAATAAGCCACGCTCCCAGACCTTAAAGAATTCACAGTGAATAGCCTGGGTTTTAAATAATCTATTGATGCCAAGTCTGCTGAACAAGGACAGTGACTTGACCAAGGTCATGCAGCTGGTGTGTGTCAGAATTAGAACCAAGATCCCTGTCTGCCAGCTTCTTGTTCACAAAGTCTATGTGGCTTTCAACCTGGATGGTACCAGGAACACAGGTTGCACCAGGCAGTCCTAAACACACATCTTTCGCTGACAGTCAAGTGTCTGCCTTTGCCCTGGTCTCTGACCACAGCAGAATTGGTGGTGGCTTGTGGTTAAGTATTGGTCTCATCATCCTTCAGGGGAGGGGTTATATCACATGGCCTGACACTGGATCTTGTAAAGAAAACCATCTCAGAGAGCCCAAGCTTGACCAGAGACTTGTTAAATTAACAGTCTCCAGGGGAGCTTGAGTTACTACAGCACAAATATGCTGATTAAAGAGGCAGCTTGGTGGAGGGGAAAGATTCAAGCCCTGGATCGGTGTTCCATTGTCGGCACACACTGGCTTTAAGACACTGGGAGGCTTCTTCACCTCCTGGAACTTCAGTGCCTTCCCTCTCATGATCAGTGCTATGCACAACTTCCTACAGTGCTGGTGGGGCTTGTTCATACACCTGTCGTCAACTTGGCTGACCAGTCAGTCACCTGCATTTGCCTGGGACTGGAAGAGATCTTGGAATGTTGGACTTCCAGTTTTAAAATTAGGAAAATTCCAGGTTGACGCACCCCAGATCTACCAGTGGATCAGCTGTGGGCTGATTTTCGTGTGGGGCGAAATGGAGGGGAATGAGGAGGACTGGGCCATGTGCCTGTCATTATCCAGTAGAATAGCCTGGCCTTGTTCAACCAGGGGCTGAGCAAAGTTCCAAGATAGGCAGATGCTAGCAAGGTCTCCTGAGGCCTAAGCTCAGAACTCTCGCGTGTCATTACCCCCTTCCAGTGGTTGATGTGAGTCTCGGGTGGACCTAGATTAAGTAGGTGAGGACACAGCCTCTTAAGGGAGGAGCTGCAGAGTCACTTTGCAGAGAGGCGTGGATGGAGGAGAAGTGTTGTGTCAATTTTATAGTCAGTCCTCCACAAGCATGGAGAGCTTGTCTTCTGCAGCAGTCAGATGTCACATACCAGGAGCTGTGAGAGTGATGATGTACAGACTTGGGTCCTCCCAGGCCCTCTTCTGTGTCCTTGCTTTCTCTCCCCTCCTCTTAGCCCACGTGGTTCCACTAAATGGAACCCCAGTCTATCCCTGATCCACTCTTCAATTTGGAAAGGCAATTTGGCAGACCTTTCCTGCAAGCTGATTTCTTGTCCTCCCCCCAAGCCCTTGGGCCACGTAAGAAGAGACCTTGTGCTACCCTGTGTCACAGTACCAATCGCCAGGCTCCAACAGTGTGGAATCTGCGAGCTCCTTGACTTCAGAGGAAGACTTGTTTCTGCGTGCCAGACTTATTTCTGGGATGGCACATAGTAGACGCTCAGGAAATTGTTGAGGAATGGCTTGAGGTCCCACTGGAATGGGAGTCCCAAGATCTTTGTTCTGTCCCTTCCACTCAAGCCCGGAGCCTGAGTCCAGATTTCTGCCAGCACCAGACGTCAGCATCACCCTGCTCCTGTCTGCCGAGCACAAGACAATGATCTAAGCATGGCCCCAGCTCTGCAAACCAGCAGATGCTTTTTTTGGTCTTGGCACCATCTAGGGTGAGAGTCTGCACAGTAATGATGACAGTAATGATGTGTGTGTCAGGCTCTGCCTGACATGGTGATGTGACTTTTTTCAGAACCTCTGTGCGTGCTCGGCATTGGTGCTCCAGCCACAGTCCTGCAGGTCCTGTGGACACAGAAGGAGCCAGGTTAGCAAGGAGGCAAGCAGACCTGGGGTCCTCCTCTGCTTGCCCCTCACCCTTGACCACACACCAGGTCTCTTTCTTTCCCTGCTCCCTCTTCCACTCATGGCCACCACCCTGGCTCAGGCCTTACCCCCCACACCTGCTGGCTTCCGGCAGCCTTAGTGCACTTTCCAAAATGCTTCACAATGTGCTGATTAATATCAAGGCTCAGGAGCCACAGCACTCGGTTTCTGCCACTCTGGGCTGAGCAGCCTTGGGCAATTTCCTCACCCTTTCTGTGTGTCCTCGTCATCTCCATTTATAACTAGGGATAATGATAGTACCTGCATCTTAAGGTCACTCTGAGGATTAGCTGAGGTGATGTGTGGAAAGAGCTTATGTAGAATAGTCCCTGATGCAGAGTTAGTGCTTAATACATGCTAGCTATAACATCTTTGCCCTGCCTCTGGCCCTTCAATGGGTCCCCATCGGCCACAAGATAATGGTTAGTGCTCCTATCACAAAGAGAGGACCTTAGCCCTTCTTCCTGCCCACCTGCTGTGAACTCAAATAGAATGCTTGGAGGCATAGCAGCCATCTTGCACCCATGAGGACAATGTCAGGGATGGCAGAGCTGGACTATAAAAGGATCCTGGGGCCTTGATGACACTGTTGAATTGCTGGCCTGAGCTGCATTTCCTGACCACTTATTGCATGAAACCAATAAGGCCTCTGTTTGATGGATGAGTATAAAGTCCTAGCATCTCCATTTCCTAAGCCACCAAGGCTGGTGCCGGTTCCCTCTGCAGCCTCGTTTCTGAAATCATACTCTCACCTCCTCCCTGACCTTTTGTTCCCACCATACGTACTGACCCAGAATTCCCTCTGCAAACAAGTTTTGCCTCTCACCCATTGATTATGCAGTTCTCATTTTCATTCTGTCTGGAACTTCCTGACCCACTATGTTACAGTTTATGAGTAGATGGCCCCCAAAGCCTCACGAGATCATGGGAGGGTGCTTTTTCAGAAGTGGCTGGATCCAGAGTGTGTGAAGCTGGAAGTGAGGGTGTGTGATTACTAAATTAGTTCACTGATTGTTTGGGCACTCTTCCTAAGCCACATAGCCTAGATAGAATATAAAAGGGGTAGAAAGATGCTGTGCTTGTCACTTGTCGGTTGCTTTGCTGACTTCTGCCTTTTGCCTGCCTTGAGCTGTTTCTCCTCTGTGATGCTGCTCTGCCACACCACCCTGCCTTGGAGCCAGCCAATTATGAACTGAATCCTCTACAAACTGATCTAAATAAACCTTTCTTCCTTTAACTTTGGGTGTTGGGTATTCTGTCTCAGCAACAAGACAAGTAACTAAGACATGCTCTTACCTGTTTTCTGCCTGGAAAACTTCCATTCATTCTTTAAAATCCTGCTCTACTATTCACTCCTCTCTGAAGGTGTAACTGACCTCTTTGACTGTTCTTCGTGAATTAATCAGTACCAGCTTTATGATACCAAGCTAGATGACAGTGCAACTCCTACTTCTACTACTTATTAATAACTCTGATCTCCCCATGCTTCAGCTTCCTCATGAATCAAATAAAAAAGATAAGATTTTATGAAGAATATGATAATAAATAAGACAATAAACTTCGATCCATTAGAAGAGCCAAAGGTAAGCACTCAGCAAGCACTAACTGTCATCATCACCATCCTCATTATCATCCTCATTCTTATGCTTGCAGGCCTGTACTCCCCACTTGCACAGAAAGCTCTCCAGGGCAGCAGCTATGTGACTCATCTCTGATGCCCCCGCAGGGCCTGTCACAGAGTAGGCATCTGGAGGTGATGGCTACAGTGGCCAAGGAAGGCCTCTTAAAAAGCAGAGCATTGGGCTGGGGATGTAACTCAGCAGCATTGTGCCTGCCTGGCAAGTGCAAGGTCCTGAGTTCAATACTTGGTACCAGAAAAAAAAGCAGAGCATGCTCTGTGCCCTTGGCATTCCCAGCAATGGAGCTGATAGGACCCAGAAGAGGAAAGGGTCTCATCTCCCTGCTCTAGGACTTCCTTGGTGAGATAATAAAAGCAAGAGTCCTCCCTGGGTGTCGAGTTCATTCAGTGCTCCTGCACACCATCGCTGCTGGGGGAGACTAGTGGCTGAGATGTGTGGCAGAACCTGCTCGGGCTCAGGTCCCTTTGGGTCTGGTAGGGACCCTAAGACCCTCCCTATTCACAGTATAAAAAGTAAGTCCATTGCCTCTGTGGTGTCAAACAAAACAGTGGGTAGACCTAGGTGTCTCTGATGTTTTCTGGCTATGTATCCTGAACAAGTGATCTGTGCTCTTTAAGCCTCAGTTTTTCCATCTGTTAAAATGGATTTGTAGCATAGGACTGTTGACAGGATGAAACACAGAGCACACGGCAGTCCCTGGCCCAGAATCTGGCATGCAGTGTGTGCTCAAAAATGTCCCATCCCTTTCCCTCTCTACTCTTTCTGTCTCAGCCTTGTCCTCACAGCCCATCTGTGCAGTTGGGCCGAGGGGAATTCTGTCCTCACATTGGGGGTGGGAAAGCAGACTGCTTCTCTGAGTAATACATGCTGCTTTCACCCACAGACAGGCCCAGGAGCCTCAGGCAGAGGGACCACATTTGTGCACATGTTTGCAGCTGCTTTGTCTACACTGCATCTCCAGCTATCAGAGCTGAAGAGCCAGTGGCCCTGCCTGAACCTGGGCTGTGGATTCTCACATGGGCCTGGGCAGACCTCACCATGATGCATGGCTCAGTGCAATGTGTGGCAGACCCTCGCAGCTGGCACCAGGAGTTCTCACTGGGCTCCAGTATACTGCTTGGAAGCCAGGGGCACCTTCTAGGGCCTGCCACCTGGTGCCCAACACCCAGCCCAGATGGACAACTGAGTGGCTGGGGCACATGGAGGAGGACCCAAGGGTGACCATGGGCTCACTATTCATTTCTGAGTTTGGTGTCCTCACCTGCAAAATCATCTGCAAAATTAATGATGGTTAAATGAAGTAAGCATGAGGGTTCCATGAGAGCCAAAAAATAGTACCAGTCTTCCTGGCCTACATTCAAAATTAATTGAGGCAGAAGGTGTCAGACAAACAATAGTAATAATAGCAAATAGATAGCATCCTCACCACAGGTTAGGGATTAGCCCTTATTTAGCACTTAATATTTATGAAATTCTGTTCAAACTACTTTGTAGTAGGAACTAGTTCTCAGAACAATTCTATTAAAAAGACACTACTATGATCCCTGTTTTATGGATGAAGAAACTGAGACTTTGAAAGTTTTGAAAGTTTAATGAATTTGCTTTCCAGCATATGACTAGTAAATGGCAGGACAGGATTGAAGGCTGGGTGGTCTGGCTTCAGAGGCCATGATCTTGACTGCCTTGAGGGTTCTAATTACATTGGAAAGCCTCAGTGTGGCTCTAGATCTGCAGCCAGAGGGGCTTCCTGACACTTCCTTCTTGAATTAGTCACCCTTGGCCATGACTTTGAGGAGAGGGGAGGAGGGGAGGTTTGCTTTCTATAGATTGTCTAGAGGGAAAGTGGGTCCTGTTCCTTCTCCAAAACCTATCCACTCTTCTCGGGGACAGTCAGTTCCTTAGTGCTACCACAACAGATTTCTACAAATTTGGTGAAGAAATTTAAACTTCCACACATCTAGAGACTAAAAGTCCAAAGTCCAAGTGTCAGCGGGGATGGTTCCTTCTGGAGTCTCTGAGACAGAGTTCCTCCGTGCCTCTGCCACCTTTTGGTGGCTGCCCATGATCCTTGGAGTTCCTCGACTTGTAGGTGCAGCACTCCAATCTCTGTTTCTCCCTTCACATGGCATCGCCTCCGTATTTCTGCATGTCCGCATAAAAGGACACTCTCACTGGATGTAGGGTCCATCTTAATTCTAGCATGATCTTACCTGCATCCTTATTTCAGTTACATCTGCAAAGACCATGCTTCCAAATAAGATCACATTCTGAAGTTCCCAGTGGACATGAGTTTTGAAAAGGGACATTGTTCAGCCATGAAAGACAGAAATAAGGAAAGGAAGCAGAGAAGCCAAGAGCTTGTCTCTAAAGTAAGTTTCTCTACCAGGAAACCCTTCATTAGTAAGGACTGCCTTGTTACTTTAATAGTGATCAAAATAGTAGTGGCCAAAGCATGGCACATAAAACCCCAGCTGGCAGGGCAAGGAAGTTCTGCTTCCCAAGGTTCTTCAGGGTCTAGGGCTGCTACTGCCTTATTCTGCTATGCAACAGAATATGTCCTTAACCCCAAAGACTGAGGGACTCACTAAAGACAGCCACACTTTAGCTGGCAGTAGAGAGCACCTAGCTTCCTTCTAGGGCATCATCAATGAAGTGCACAGAACTTTCTGCTCACAACAGTGGCCCCCACTTAGCTGGTTCCCCCGCATGCAAGAGAATCCAGAAGATCTAGTGTCTGTCTGAGAGGTCATGACACCTGCTAAGTCTTAGAAGATTCTACTTCTAAATGAAAACTGGAAAGGTTGAGTAGAGAGAGGGAGAACTAGCATAATAGATGAAAACTACCTAGCATTTGGGTAAATTATTATTTTGATCTTTTAACATAGCATTGCTGGCAATCCTCACTGGCCCCAAACCTCCACATTCTCCTCTGACCTTGGCACCTGTCACTGCATGACCCAAGCCCAGACTGATCACGCTTCTGTCATCCTACAATGGCCACTCCTCTTCCTGTTTCCTAACCTGCCCCACAGGGTCTGATGTTCCTTCCTAAGGCTGCCCCATGGCCAGCTCAGCACTGGGCCTCAGGTCACCAGGCTTTGGAGGCAAGAGGTCTTCTAAGTCTTCTGGCTTCCGGCAACATGCTCTGTCCTGGAATCGGGACCCGCAGGTCCTGCGTGGGCTGTGTGGTTGTCTTCCTGTGTTCTGGAGGTGTTTGTGGAAAGAATATTCTGGGATTAGGGGATAAAGGTCAAAACTGTAATTACAAGAACATCTGTTCTGAGTGGAAAGAACACCAGGAGACATGCCCGCACAGTTCAGCACGCTGGATGTTCAAATGGAAGAGCCTGCTCTGGGAGCGAGGGCTAATGGATCCAGCGGTGAGGGAGGCTCTGCTTCCTGGTGGGAGGCTGCACTTGGGAAGAGGGGGGAAGGAGGGCAGAGTAGACAGAGTGGAGAGTGGGAAGGGAGTAACTGAGCACATGAAGAAGGGAGGAAAAGGAAGAAAGAATGAGTGAGGAGGGTGAATGAATGAATGCGCTGATGGATGAGGAAATGAAAAAATAAATCAGTAAAAAGTAAATCATTGAATGAATAAGTGAATGAGTGTGTGAATAAATGAAGAAACTAATAGTAAATGAGTGAATAAGTGTGTGACTGAGTAAATGAATGTGTGGAAATTGGGGAAATGAATAAATGAGTGAATAATGGTAAATAAATGAGTGAATGTGTAATTAAGAGATGAGGAAGTAAGAAATAGTAGGAAAATGAGTGAACAAGTGAGCCATTAGTTAAATTACTCTTCAGTTGGTGGCAAGACTGGAATTGGGCAGCAATAAGGGACCGGACCCTACTGTAGCTGGGCTAAGGGCAGGGTCTGCCCATGTTAGGAGGGCAGGAGGACAGGTGAAGTTGGAGAGTACAGTTAAAGCTCATCAGAACTAGGAAAACTATTAAAAGTACTGTATCTGATCCCCACTGATTCCCCCATGTCACAGATGGAGGCACTAGGACAAAAGGTAACAAAAAGCATAGAGATGAGGTACTTGGAAACAGTGTAGCCATGTTATCTTGGGCAATTTAAGTACTCTTTTTAAATTTTAGACTCCTTATCTGCAAAAGAAGATTGATAACAGAGGTATATTTTATTTGTGGAAATGTTACAAAGATAGATTTTCTTACTTTGGTTTGGGCACACGCAAGCAAATATGCAAAAAGGCATAAGCAGGGATTAGACGGGACATTTAAATATGCAGATGCAGACAGCCAGGGTGCAGGGAGCAAAATCACTGAGGCCCTGCATGAGCTGGGAATGGACTCTGAGAGCAGAGAGAAGCTACAGTGTTGACTTTGCTGGTAGAACAAGGCATGAGTTGAGCACCATCTGCTCTTTTCCCTGGACAGGTGAGAACATGCGGGTCAGGAAGTTTAAATCTCAGTCCATTTCAACCAGGGTCTCCCAAGTACTTGCTGGGTTGCCCACTGCTGAAATGCGGTTGTGCAAATACACTGCCCCAGGTTCTCTTGCATTCCCAGTAGTGGGCCCAAGAGAAAACCAACAGTACAACACACTGGGGTTGTGGTAGAAAGCAGGACCATAAAACTCCAGAGGGGAAAGTGTGGAAGATTAGTAGGTCCAGGAAGTCATTTGACTGTGGCTTATGGGTGAGACCTTGGGAGGGGATAAAAGCTTGGAGATGGTAGAGAGGGCATTCCAGACAGTGTGAGCAGAGAAGTGGAGAGATGAAGGACTCGGCACGCTGCATACATCTGTGGCTCTGCAGACTATGTGGCTGAGTACCAGCAGTTCCATCCGCTGAGGTTCAGCAGGCAAATCTTGGGTCATTTAAACCACTGTAGCTGTAGCACACAGAGTACAGAGCTGGGTACATTGTAGGGATTTTGTGAGCATTTGTTAAATGAAGGCATAGAAATGAAAAAGCGAAAGAGGGAGGAAAAAGAAGTCAAAGCTTTGGAACAGATTGGTGGGGCTGGCCAAAGGTTTAGAAACCTGCAGGAGAAGATGCCCCTCTGGGGCCCCGTGATGAAGCCCAGACCTGCAGCGTGCATATCTGGAATCTTTGGATGGAGGGTTGCTGTGTAAGAGAGGCCTCTTGAATTTGCTTCAGAATAAGACCGAGACAGGCTGTCACATGAACGTGACCTGGTCACAGATCCACCCTTCACTGTCACCTCAGTCTGGTGGAATCCCTGAGCTGTAACAGCCCTCAGTGATATTCCCTAACCCTCTGATTTTACAGGTAAAGCAGCAGAGGCTCAGAGAGGAGCTGCAGCTTGCCTTGCTGTGTGTCACTGAAAGGCACTGAGAATTCCCAGTCAATGCTAAGGAGTCCTGGAGTCTGTTCTCATACTGCCACCCGGTAGGAGGCTCCTATTCTCTCTGGCATCAGTTTCTCTAGATGAAATCCCTGGTCTATATTGAACCTTTGGATCCTTTCCACCAACCCATTTCATTTATTTGGTAAATATCCACTGAGTGACCCCACAGGTCATGCCTGGTCCTGGAGGACACCAGAGAGAAGGTCTCCCCTCCCGCCCAAGTCCTCTACCAGATCCCATATCTCAGCCCTCCATCAGACTCTAAGCTCCTTGGGGCCATATTTGGTCTTTGCACTTTCTTTATGGAGCAAAGCAGGGAGTTAATGCATAGATTAATTCATGTAGTGACTCATGGCAGGTGTCCCCAGGAGCACTAGTGGGAACCAGAAATATGGCTGGCCACTGCACAATGGCCAGAGTGAGCCATCAGAGAGACATAGGGCCTAGGGAGGCCCAGGAGATGGCCTAGAGGATGATGAAGGCTGGTGGGAGAAGGTGAAAGCCTGCAAGGATCAGAAGAAGTTACTCAGGGGAGGGTGAAGGTGACAGAGACAAAGGAAACAGCATGTACCAAACACCAGGGGCCCAAGAGCACCTTGTCCACTTCAGGAGCTAAAGCAATTTTTGCTGACTCTGGAGTCATAGATCGCCCCTCCAGGACTCCCAAAGGGGCACGTATTATCCACAATACCTAATAGCCAGAGCCAAGTACCAGATTATCCATTCCGGCAAGCACCTCCGACACCCAGGATCACTCCATGGACAGAGCTCGGGTACTGGCTCATGCAGGCCAATGCAGACTCTAAAGTTACTTCCCCAGGCTGCCAGTCAGGTGGAGCCATAGCCCCATGGATGGAGATCCAGGTCCCAGCCCTCTGGAGCCTGTGCAGTACCCTGACCACCTGGCCCTTGGCTTCAGCTCAGTGAAGCTCACCTCTTGCAGGAAAGAGCTTAAAAACTATGTTTCTGCTTTAAGCATTACTGTTGCTAAATTGGTTCTATGATAGCCAATGTGTAGCTTGGATGGGAGCCCTGGGGGGTGGGGGAAGGACAGATGGAAAGGAGAAGGGGCTCAGGGAACCCAGTTCAGGAGGCAAGTAGAGAGCCCAACATGTGGCCCAGACTCACATCTGCATGTTTGTATCCCAGATTTTAAGGGTTAAACAAAGGCCAAGTTATTCTTGGAGTAAGATGAGGAAGGAAATGAGGAAAAATGAGAAGAAGAAAAGGAGAAAAGAAAAAGAGGGAGAAAAGAAACAAAAGGAAGGAGGGAGGAAGAGAAGGAAAGAGGGAAGTAAGAGAGAAAAGGAAAATAAATGGAAACTATCACTTGATCTTAGACAAAAGGCTGAGAAGCAATAAAAAAGTAAATTATCACACTTTCCTTGGAAACAAGCATCATACATTATTTAAGCATCAAATACTGTTAAAGGAGAAGTGTCAGACTTCCAGAGCCCTCTGCATGGATGTTGATGGGTTACCATGGCTCTGAGGTTAATACAAGGAAATGACATTCTTAAGAACTCACATTAACCTGTCTGTTGTTCTGTGGACTGTGACAGTGCATTTTACATCTTAATGTCTAACCATTTATTTCACACCAAAAAGTAAAATTAAAAAAAAAGGAGTTGTGTTTTTATCCCATGAACTGAGAACTCAATGCTGGAAGTTTTGCCCCCAGAAGCAGACTGTAAGGTGAAACCCCAAGCAAGCCCCTGGCAGACACCATGAGGAACCCCTATTCTCCCTCCATTTGCCCAGAGTCTCAGGGCCCTTCATGGATTCCCCTCTCATGTCCTCTACAGGCCTTTGTCTGGGCTGCTGGTTGTGAAAATGGTTATGCCATGGTAGTATGTAATACAAGGAAGGGCCCCAAGTGCAGGGAAAGGACCATGAATACTTGGGAAGGCCATAGGAGGGAGGGTTAAGCTCAACCAGCTTCAGAAAAGGAAGTATTTGACCTGTTCTGAAACGTACTCATTCAAGAAGTACTTCTTGAACACCTACAATGTGCCTGCCATGCACTGCTCTAGAACAGCAAACAAAACTGGTACCAGTGAGTGTTCCCTGTGTTCCTGGCTCCTAGAGGACAAATGCAGTTCTGCCCCAGAGGACTCACATTCAAGCCAGAAGACAGGCATTTATTAAATAACTACTTGGATAAATGTGTCATTACAAGGGCCCAAGGAATGGATGATAGTGGAAGTTTCCCTGGTATAAAGGCCCAAGGACGATTCACCCTAGAGGAGTCTAAATGAAGCTGAGAGCTGGAGAAGAAGGAAGTGCCTCCCAGAAGAGGGCAGCCTTTGCTCCTTGGACAGAATGTCCTGAAAGAGGACTGGAGTGGTTGGAGTTTGGGGCAGGGGACCAGATAGAAGGGGCTATAAGGTCAGCAAAGCAGGGGACAAAGTAGAAAGTTAATGTTTAAGAGCAATGGGGGGGCATCATTCCTCAGTAATTGGCACAGTTTCCAATGCTTTTCAGGCCCACCATTTTGGGTTGTAAAAACCAGCTGGTGAGATAGGATAGTCTGGGACTCTTGTCCCAGCTTAACAGACCAGAACATTGGAAGTTCTCCCCAAAATGAACCACTTACCTAAGATCACTAACAGTTGAAGGAGTGAAGATGAGGGCCTTGGTCTTGCTTCTTAGGGCTGGCTAGAGACACAGATGAGAGAAGAGGCTTCATGGACTGGCACACAGCAGAAGCCATGGTACAGTATGGCTGAGGGAACCGTGCGTGGTTTGGAGAGGAGCTCCCAGGTAAAAGGGCCCAGCACAGCCTGTCAGGCAGCAGATGCCCAGAAAATACCTGTTCCCTCTGTTCACCTGGAAGAAATGTTACTTTGGTCTCACATCCTCCCTTTCCATCTTCATCCCACCTACAATGTCAGTGAAGAGGAAAGTGAGTTGCTCATGATACTTACTCACATCTGAACGCTCTTTTCTAGCTCCAGATTGCTCCACTGGGAGACCTGCTTCTCCCTGCAGTGCAAAGAAACTGAAGAAGTCAACTTCCCAAGTTTCCTGCTCCTCTGCCCCAGTCCCTACTGCAATAGTCTATAGTGCTGTGGTCAGATAAAGTTCTCAGCAGAGAGAACTACTTTGGAAATGTACCCACTCAAGAAGGATTCCTAATATTAAAGGAATATTCATTCATTTTTCTTTCGGTCTCTCTAACAGTCTTAGGAGGTAGTTATTCATTAGGGCCATTTTCTTTTTTTCGGTCTGGGGATTTCAACACAGGGCCTTTGCACTAAGCTACATCCCCAGCCCCTTTACATTTTTTATTTTGAGACATGGTCTTTCCAACTTGATAAATTGCTCAGGCTGGGCTTGGGCTTATGATCCTCCTGATATCAGCCTCCTAGAGTACTGGGACTACAGGCATGTGCCATCATACTCTTATTGACGACCTTTGTTTTAAAAGGACTTGGAGGGATTGTTATTCATGGCAAAAATAATAAGCCAAAATTCAAACACAGAACCTCTCTGATCTCATAGTCTGATTTTCTTTTAGCTGCTTGACAATGGTAACATCTGTCTCTCTTGGCAACATCTTCTAACATTGCCAGCTCAACACAGCACACTTTTCTCTGTGTGGAGGCAAGTGATAGCCATCCTGAAAATAGGTTCAATATTTGTAGGGGAAAATCCTTTCATGGATTTAGGCTTTGGTATGCTTTGCTCAATATTCACCTATCTTCTATATCAACTTAAGGCTAATGGCTCTTCTTTCTTTCATGGAGAACACCTTTGATCTTCCCTGAGCTTTGAAGAGTGATTTTGGACATCTTCCTAGTCACTGGAGGGATGAATATGGACTTTATTCCACAAGTCCAACTTCCTGGGGAACTCAGAGCTCAAAGATGCAATCGCGTCTCTGTGGCATACCCACTAGATATTGGTAGATGAACCTAGGCAGTACTGAAATTTTGGCATCAGAATGGGCTAGAGGAATGTGACAGCTCCCAGCCTCTCATTTTCCCATTCTACTGGAAGGTCGTGTTCATTTGAGCTTTTAAACAAAAAATAAATTATTGTAATCCATTTGCTAATTATACCATGTGAAGTTCTAGACGCTGTAAATTGCAGCATGATATCTCTAGATGAAGTTTCTGGGCATTTATTTTTAGTGATTCGGAAAGAACTCAGTTTCCTAGAGGTTTCATCTGCAAGTCTAGGAGGGGACAGGAAAATGCATCTGCACAGCTCCTCCCATCCTGTGGCTGCAGTCAGTGCCCTCCTGATCCTCCTCTGGAAAAGACATGGTTTACAGTAGCTCATCTTGAAGGGCTTATCTATCTTCAAACCTCTAAATGCTCACTTACTGACTCTGGTAACTAGAATGTGTCCAAACATGAGCTGTTGGTGCCTAGCTCAACCTGGGAACTGTCAACAGCCACCACACCAACATGTCTTTGAGCCGTGGAACACAGGCCTTCAGAAACCTCTCAAGTTTAGGAGACATATTGTTGCCCTTTTCTCTCTTTATCTTTCCAGAGAGCAGAGAGAGAATGGAAGGATTTTATATTTATTTAAGCACCTACTATTTGTATAATACACTATGTGGTGCTTGCATGTGAGTGATTTTTGGATAATTTCCCCCATTCAAGGGTAGTGTGCGCCAGGCAACTGGGCTTGTTTAAGAAAAAAACTTAAGGTGAACTGGATGCAACTTCTACCCCCAAGGAGACCAGAAGAGAGGTAAAGCCTGAAGTGAATATATTGAAGTACTTTATGAACTGCAGCTTTAGCTATGAACATGAAATACCAAGAGCCATTGGAGCTAACAGAAGTATTTTGGTTTGGGATGGGGCTCCTGAGCTCATTTTGTGCTTGCTGGGTGGAGGGAGGGGTGGAGTATTTCAAGGATAAAGAGATATTTGAGCCAGTCTTCATGTGTAAATTGGATTTTAAAATGTGGGGATTGGGTAAGGGAAAAGGGACAGACCTGATTCAGTAACCTTGGAAACTGTCCTGGCTGGATCATATGATGATTGTCCTTGACTAATCACACATCCTCAGATGCCAAGAAAAGCACAGCCCTTCCCCAAATACTAATACCTTCTAGCAAATTTTCTTCAATTTTGACCATAGTATGACATATTTTTTTCAAAGGGTAAGCATAAAAAAATCTTTTGGAACAATTCCTTTGTTTTGATGCTTCTAGTATTTAGATTTCTGGACAAACAACCGTCCACCATATTTATGTAATTCTTGGGTGGGTTGATGGATGTGTGGTCAGATGGAGATGACTGGATGGTTTAGGATTCTCAGAGAGCTTCCACAGCAAGAAGATGAGAACAGTGACAGGAACCTGAAGGGCTTTATAGGAAGAGGGACATTAGAGCTGAGATTTAAACAATGAGAAAAGTTTCCTCCCCACACAGTCCAGATAAAGGCTTCCATTCAGAGAGAAGCATGATGGGAGCATGAGAAGCACAGCACTGTGGGATAGCGGTGACCACAGAGGCCAGGTCAAGGAGGGTCACAGGAGGGAGTGCGATGGCTGAGCACATGAGCTCAGTGGATTGCAGTTTGAATCTCAGCTCTGCCACATACTAGCTAAGCAATTTTGGGGCCAATTAAATAACTTCCAAGCTTCTATTTTCTCATCTGTAAAATGGGACTATTAATAATACCTACCTCAGGGCTGGGGATTTAGCTCAGTGGTTTTGCCACCTGCTGCACAAGCGCAAGGACCCAAGTTTGATCCCCAGTACCAAAAAAAGAAAATAATAATAATAATAATACATACCTCAGTATTGTGAAGATTAAGAGAGATAAATTTATGCTTAGCACAGTAATTGATATGAGCTTAGTGTGCACTTAATAAATGATAGTTTGTGGTTATTTTATTAAAACAAGTCTAATTAAGCTATGAAAATGTCTGTTCAAACCACAAAATTTATAGACGAGCCAGAGAAAGTCCTTGGAGGAAAGGGAGAACGGTCAGGAATGACTGGCAACGTGGATGCTGAGACAGGAGAGTCACTACTGACAAATAACCCAGACAGGCCACCACAGATTAAGAAGTAACATCTGGACATCATTGTGATCTTAAAGAGAACATTCTAGGGCTTAAACCCAGAGACTTGTGAAGAATGTGGGAGTGGAAGAGGTGGTGATTTCCACAACTCTTTCAAGAAAACTCTGAGAAGGAGAAAAGGAACTTGGGCTAGGATCAGGGACAAGGTCATGGGAAGGGCTATTTGATGGATGAAGATTATGGAAATTCAGCACAGTTTTTCTCTACTTTTCTAAATCAGTGCCCCATTTGGTAAACAGAAACATCATCTTTCTTTCAAGACTGATATTTGAGTACTTACCACCCAACACCTAACCCTGGTGCCTTTCAAGAATTATACCTGCCAAAAGATTTTGTCTGAATTTACCTCCTCTAGTTCTATTTTTTAAATGGTAGGGAAATGGTAGTCTTGTAATAAAGCAGGTAGGAAATGAGGGAGGCACTGCAGGTGGAGCAAAAGGACAGTAAGAAGACTTCCCTAAGTAAGATCAAGTCTTGGAGGAAGAAGGGGTCAGGAAGAATCCCAGAGCTCTGGAATTGAGAGTGCAGTGAACAAGCACACCACCTGGTTAACTGCTACATCTCTCCTCAGGAAGGGTCCTTGTCCCACTGCCTAGGTGACACTACACACATCTTCTAAGACAGATTTATTGAGACCAAATGACAATTATACTCACTATCTGGAAACTTCCCTAATGCTTTATAAATGTAGGATGTTATTAATATTTTATAAGTAACAGGGGCCGGGGATTTAGCTCAGTGGTTCCTCTGCTTGCCTCAAAAGTACAAGGTCCCGAGTTCGATCTCTGGTACCAAAAAAAAAAAAAATTATAAGTAACAGATAGTGTGCCTCAACCTCTTCTTGTACACTCTGTTTTTGTCACCCTGACCTCTGTGTCAATGAGTGTTATTTTAAATGGCAGGTGGGAACTGATACATATTGCTCACTCCCCCTTCCAGATGAGGAAATGGAGATGCAAAGGGGTTTGAAAATAAACTAGCCCAAGATTACACACAACAACCAGGGAATGCAGTCCTCTCTAAGCACACATGGAACATGCATAAAAGTTGGTTTCCTCTTAGCCATAAAATATGTCTCAGTAAATTTCAAGGAATCAAAATCCCACAAACCACATTCTCCTACCACAAGGTAATTAGGCTAAGAATCAGTAACAGGAAGATGAGGGGTTTTTTTTTTAATTTTCTATTGTAATGTCTTTACAAAAACGCTGCTAACTGACTCATGGGTCAAAAAGAAAATATAATAGATATTATAAAATACTTATTAATGAATGATAAAAATATTAAATATCAAAAGTTATGGAATACAGCCAAGAGGACACTTAGAGGGAAATTTATGACTTTCCATGGTTATATTATAAAAAGAGAAGGGCTGAAAATTAATGAATGGGCTAAGGGTCCAATTTAAGAATGTCAGTAAATGTAAATAAGTCAACCAGCACAGAGCTGTGCAATTTAAGTAGCAGAGCCAAGGTTGGAGCATAGACATAGCTGACCCCAAAGCCCTTGCTCACTTCCCCACACTATGTGCCTGTTTGCTATTTCCCATAATGTGCTCAGTGCCTAGAAATTCAATTCCTCCTAGGAATCAAAGAGATGAACTGACAAGGTAATTCCTTACATCACAGGTTGATGAGAAATCTCACATCCATTCATCCATCCTTTTACTTGCTTTTTCACTAAGTTTGTAGTGTGTATTTGCTATGTGCTAGGCACTGTGCCGCTAGCTGCGTTCATTGCCTCTTTCTTCTGAGTGTTCAAAAACCAGCCTTCAGCCTGGGGCAGAGCTAACGCTGCAGCTGCTACTGCCCACCTCCCAGCCCAGCTCAGCCCACCCCCAAGCTGCCTGCCTCTCCTTTGCTGCTTGTCAGAACAGCATCCTCATCAAAAATGACTGATTTCTCTCTTGTCTCTTCCAACAGGTAGACTGAAA